TGGGGAATAGAGATTCATTCTTTCATTCATTTTTTGGATAAACATTTTTGAGCACCTATGTGTGGAGCATTTTATCAATGTTGACCCGGTACTCCCTTGTGCTGGGGCAAGTCAATTCCAGTCAGAGGACAATCCAAAATGCAATTTTTGAATTTGACCACAGGAGGAGAAAAAAGGAATACTGCAATAGTGGTGGAGAAGAGGTGGGAAAAATTTTGTATTCTGCTGTGTGTATGGTTCCAACTCATGGAAGCTGACACACACTTTCCTGCTTCCATTCCTTTGCTATCTCCCAAGAAACTTCCAGGTATCCATCTTTGCTTATTAAATTTTTATCTACTTTCAAGGTCCATTTGGCCTGCTAGTTCTGTGTGGAGCTTTTTCAGATTTACTCATCTCCCCATCGTTTACTAATATATATCATTTTAACAATGATAATTCTTAGCTGATACTTCTTTATAACTGATTTAATTCCATCACATATTAATAAAACTGTTTTGCCTCATAAATGAATGGTAATGTCCTTAAGGATGGGTCAACTTTTGTAAAGATTTGTACCATATAAATTCTTGCTAAGTATTTGTGGAATTGAGTGAATTTGCTTTCTTGTAGTTTTACAGCTGTAGCAGAGTCAGTGCTAGAAACCAGGCCCAGGAGCATGCTGTGACGCTGGCCACTGCATCACTTGGCTCCTCACTTGATATGCAAATTAACTATTTCACATGATGGCCAAAGCACTTTCCCAATATGAGCTTTATATGTAGATCTAAATATACTAGATTACATCTGAACTATACTATATAATAAAAGCCCAGCAACTGAAACGGTGGAATGACCAGAATGACTAGAGACCAGAATGACCATGGCCCCTCCCTCTGCTGGCCCAGTCCCCCAGAGAGTGGTTAGGGGGGATCAGGCAGGCAGCCGAGTGTTTAGGGACACTCAGGCAAGCAGGCAAGTGTTTACGGGTGATCGGGCAGGCAGGCAAGTGGTTAGGGGCGATCAGGCAGGCAGGCGAGTGGTTAGGGGCAATCAGGCAGGCAGAGGCAGTTAGGGACAATCAGGCAGGCAGGGGAGCAGTTAGGAGTCAGTGGTCCCGGATTGTGAGAGGAATGTCTGACTTCTGGGTTAGGCCCGACCCAAGAGATCTCGGTGGGATCGTGCCTAAACAGGCAGTCAGACATCCCCCAAAAGGTCCCGGATTGCGAGAGGGTGTAAGCGGGACTGAGGGAACCCTCCCCCCGTGCACAAATTGTGTTCACCGGGCCTCTAGTCTATAGATAATAAGTAGCTCTGTCTTTGAGGAAGAACTAAAGGACACAATGTAGTAATTCATTGTACTTTAAAGTGATGTCCAAGGTTCATTTTTAAATGGTGAATGGTTCAAATTCTAATTTTTAAGTAACAACAATTTTAGTTTAAGTCAAATGGTAAAACTTTAAAATATCAAGAAGACTGATTCCAGCAAGAAACAGTCACAAAATCTGTTTAAGAAAATTTAAACCCAATGAATAGTTCTTAGATCTTTAAGTGATGAATTGGTCAGAGTGTCCTGTGGTTGATTTTGTTTGACATGCTAAGATAGCTGACATAATCAGACTCATAAAAATTACTTTAGTTATTTAGTCAAATGTAATTGTGTGATGATTCACTTGGTTGTTCAATTATTACTTCTTACAATATAACATGTCACCCTATTTTAATTGATCTGAAGGAATTCTAAATTATTATAATAACACTTTGTTTCCTTCATTTAACTTATAGCAACTTTCAATTGTTTTTGAGTTTTGTTGTTTCCTTAATTAGGCTGTAGATTCCATGAGGGCAGGGACCATATCAGTTTTTCCAATAGCTATTTTCCCAGTGTTTTCTATAGGACATGCAGTGTAGCTATTCAGTTAATGTTTTGTGGATGGATGGATAGCTGAATGGATGGATGAGTGGATGGAATATAAGTATATCGATTCATTATGCGGTTTTATATCTATTAAATGTAGGTAGAACAATTGAAAAGTGAATCATTCAGCCAATCAACCAATTATTGTCATCCTTCTCCCAAATAAATCATTGAATTATCTTATTGGCTGCTTTGAGTTCATATCAACCAAGTCAGTGGAGAAATGACCCTCTAGTAAGCCAGGCCATGTCTGATAACATAAATTTTAATGCAAACAAAATGTTCATATTCTAATTTTATGCTTTTAACAAAATCAATATTTCTGCATTTTCAAAATTCCATCTTGGATTTAGCCTATAAATCTCTGTTACAAGAATTGAGTAAATCAGAATCAATAAATATAAGGAATCACTTGATACTGCAAAACTATTAAATAGTTTAGAGGAGTGGGAGGGAGGTAAAATATATAGCAAAGGAGAGTAATATATATAATGTAATGATAGGGCATATTTGTGCATGCACGAACACATATATATACACACACACATACAAAGAATGGACATGGTTTAGGACATAAAGGCAGTGAGGTAAGCAATTAAGAAAGACCCTCTTCTGAATTAAAATGGCAAGCTAAATTAACTAATCAGAAAAAAATGTATTTTAAAGAGACAAAATTTCAGACATGACTATAATTGTCTTGCTGTTTCATATTTATGAACTGGGAAAATTCATTAGAGCAATATTTAAATAGAATACCATAAAATAGATACAGCACATTTGATTGCACACTTCAAACTTGTCACTTAGTTTTACAAGGATAGCATATATTTTGTATGCTATTAATAAAAATATCTAATAGAGAAGCTATTCGTAAGCAAAGCTTGCATAGCCTCTGTTTTCCTGGAACAGAGTTTTTTGTTTTTGTTTTTTTCTCTTCTTTTCTTTCATTCTTATGGAGAAGAAAAAGAAAGCAAAACATAAAACTAAAGCATGTCATTTGTTAACATAGTATTTCTCAGTATTCCCTTTATGCTGTCTGGATTTCCAATTGTGCCCTTATCATTTTTAGAGTGAGTGAAAATTGGGAAGAAAAATAGAATTGTTCTGTAATATAATTATATTTTAATGTGATGTTCTACTTCTCCGTTTGTCGTTATTGAAGTTTTTGTCTTCCTTCATTAAACATTTAATAAATCATCAACACTTTGTGACAGATTTTAACCATAACACGAACAGCAGGAGGTGTAAACCCAGCTCAGTTCATACGGGCATATAATATCAGCGTCAACATCATCATGCCCCATAGGCATATTGGCAGAACGACCAATGGAAGGTAAGCTTTTTCCGACAAAGCTTCGAAAATAAAGTTTTCTTCTTTTATCTTACCACAAATCAATTGGAGCCCTTGCAGCCAAATCCTATAAAATAACTTCAAACACCACTTCTTAGTCTAAAAATTTGTATTATGGCTATAACTCTTTGAAGTATTACGACTGAAGTTTGGAGAAAAATGATTTAAGTGCTATCTGCTAGACATCAGAGCTTCAAAAATTCTCTCAGTTTTTCTTGACATATAAACTACTACCCACTGTATGTTTTTAGAATTTTTTTTCTTGCTTTTAACCATCTAACCCAGCTTGCTTGATAAAAGTTATTTAACTGCCGTTTATCCGATTGAATTAATACTCTTTAAAGGTTCACCAACTTGCAATGGATTATTTTACTTTCTCAAGATTTTTTTCCCCCACTCTGCTAGGGTTAGGGTTGGTTTTAGAAGAACTTCCAGAATCTCAAACATGCAGACTTTAAATTAAGTTTTAAAAATCACTGGAGAAAGTGGAAAACATGGGCTAAGGGCGCCTTTGATTCCTGCTTGGAAGTTAAATGTTAAAGAGAGAAAACTGCAAAGTTTTCTGATGGGAAAGTCTCCCTGACACTGAGAGGATGATGAGGACAAAGACGCCTCTGCAGAGGACGCGAGACCCATCAGGCTCAGGGTAAGAAGTTGTTGCCAGGGCCTCAGGTCACGGCACGCTTACCGACATCCTCAGAAACTAGACAGGAACTTGGGCTTACATTTCTTTAAACAAGACACAGAAAAAGTCTAGTTTGAAGAAGAGAAAATTCCACGTAGCAAGCTCTTAGTGAGCATCTCCTTTCTGCACGTAACTCTATGCGATGCCACATTGGGCGGGGTGTGCAAATATTTTTAAATAGAAAAGAGTTCCTAACCTCAACAGCCTGCCATTGACTCAATGTCTTTGCTCAATACTAGGCGATTCCTTTGGCTTTTTATCCATTCTCACTAAGGAGAATTTTTGGATGGACTCTCCTTTAAAGGAAAATAATGCTTTGCAGCGTCCAAAGTGACTAATAGAGTTAATATAGGTTCTAAATTGTAATTTCATATTCATAGTGGTCTAACTTTGGTGGGAAATTCTGGGGGCAAAAACCAGATTTACACTATATCAGTGCTACTTCAACGCCAGCCTGCAACAAGACAAGGAACTTGCACCCAAAAAGTACGTAAATGCGCTGCTTCCTTGATGGAGAAAGTTGTGCTATCAACAAATAAATGTCAGCGGAGCTCAACAGTGTGATGAGTAATGTAGCTGACTTACACTCCAGAGCCAGCTCTTTATCCCATCTGAAATAAGTAACAGTTTCAGGACTGCTAGCTTGTCCATGAACCATATTTAAAATAACTCTATTCTTCACAACTCAGCTCAGATTTATAAAGCAAAAGAAAGGGCAAAATCAGAACTGAGTAACATAAGCAAAAATTACTGAGGAGTAGATATCGTGGAGAAAAGTAATGAAATACGGGAAACTGATAAGGAATTAATGGGCTCTGTTTTATATATCTAGGGAATGAAATCATGTATTTTACCCATCCTTAGTAGGATGCTCCTTAAGAAGGGTACCCTTAGTAATTCATATAAAAATATAGGCCCAGAACAAAACAAAACACAGTAGGTTCAGCTGTTAACTTCCTTTTTTTGCTGCTGCTAATTGCTTATAGTGCATCTGCCACCTTAAATTTTCTTACTGCTGTCACTGCACTCACAAGCATGTCAAAGGCTCAACTATCACTAAATAGAATTTAATAGAAGATGAAGCCAAAACTGCCCTCATTGAGCTGAATATGATCAGCTAAAGTGTTGATGGAGAAAGACACAAAGAACTTGATAAATCTGGCTGCAAAATCTGAAAAAGAGAGTTCACAAGAATAGCTGGCATGCAATGAGATCATGTTCTCTTTCATCTTATTAGGTGGCAAAACTGAATAATAAACATAAATATCTCCAATTACAATGAACCCAAAACCCCAGAGCAGTTTCAATGGGAGTGTGTGGGAAATATTCATCACATATTAATGTTACCTCTCTTAACTGCTGGAGAACTCATTCCCTACAGAATGAAGCAACTTGATCAGTTCTCAGATAGGATAGGGAGGATGGATGCTTCGGAAAAATGTAAAATACTAGGTTTCCCATGGGCCATTGTACTTCCCCAGGCTTTTCCCAGATTCCCAGAGGCCAAGTGCACTTTTGGCCCAATCCTTCAACTCCAGCCTCCAAGGCTTTTCTGAGTCCTGCTTGCTATATGCTCTGTTCTTTCATATATCCCTATGTTCTCCAGCATGTTCTTCAATTAGCCAAACATTTATTCCACTGCCTGCATATATTTTTCTTTTAGAACTAATCCAAAAAGAGATTTAAAAACTTCTTCCCACAAAAAATTAAAAATGGAACTCCCATTTGACCCAGTGATCCCACTTCCAGGAATATATCCCAAGAAACTAGAAACACCAATCAGAAAGGATATATGCACCCCTATGTTCATTGCAGCACAATTTACAATAGCTAAGATTTGGAAACAGCCTAAGTGCCCATCAGCAGAGGAGTAGATTAAAAAACTGTGGTACACCTACACAATGGAATTCTATGCTCTGTAAAAAGGAAAGAACTCCTACCATTTGCAACAGCATGGATGAACCTGGAGAGCATTATGCTAAGCAAAATAAGTCAGTTGGAGAAGCACACGCATGCTGTGTATTGACCTAGAATCTCCATCCTCAATTATCTGAAACTCTTATTTAAATAACAACAACAAATAACCAATGGACACAGACACCAGGGGGATGAGGGCATGAACGGGGGGATGGGGGGAAAAGGGGGGGTTAAGGTCACATATGTAATACCTTAATCAATAAAGAAAAAAAACCATCCCAAATTTTGTCTCTAAACCTAGTATGCAAATGTGCTTAACACTTGACAATCTTAGCTCTATTAGCAATCTATATTTCTCCCGTCTGTATGGATTCTCTATGTGCTTATCTGTAATCTGTGTTTATACACCTTTGTTTAAAGTGCCAAGAGAGCAGAGTTAGTGCTTGTGTCTCTCTTATACAGTTAAGATCACTTATGCATTTGATATTCTAATGATACAAAAATCCCAAATATTAGATGTGACAGGTAGGTAGATTGCTTTAATTAAAACCATACCATTCCACTTTTTCTTTGATTCTTCTGTTCCAAAGACTGGAAAACTAAAAATTGTACTTCCCTCGATTCCTTTGCAGCTATGGTGTAGGTTTCATCAATGTAATAAACCTGAATGCAGAAGCAAACAATATGAAGACATGGTTATACATGGGAAGATATGATCTTCTAGAAAGTATTTTTATAAAGGTATTGATTCTTGTATGGTGGCTAGAGCAGAACTTCTGGTGTCTAGTTTAAGAACAACCAGTGCTAAATGGAGGGCAGCTCTGCCATAACATTTGCTAGAACAGCTCCACAATGAGGTTGGGCACTTACCCAGGTTACACAGTTATCTGGCCCTCTCAGAGATTGTATGACTTATGTCATACCTTTTAATAAATTCTTTTCTTCTTTCAGTAGACAGATTGAATTTTGTGGTTTACAGCAACAACCTTTATTAATGTGTTCAGTTTCTTCTTTGTTTTTGAGATAAATAACTTATGTAGCCCCAGTTGTACAAGTACACATTTCCTAAGAAATAACAGATAATTGGAGTTTCCAGGTATAAGGAAATAGTATATGATTATGGGCTTCAGACAAAACTCTGCATCAAAACTTCCATCTAAAGGATTTGGTAGGGTGTGCAGTTTGGCAGATGGAGGGTCTTCAAGGGATTCATTTTCCAGGACACAGAAAAGCTTTAGCAATGATTTTGGACAGGGATGCCTGGGCTTAAAAACTCTGCTTCCTCCAGTTAATTGAGACATTTTTTTTTATGCTGAGTTTGGTCAAGAGGCAGGGTAGTTTTGTATCTATAAACAGTGCCTTATGCAAAAAGTTAATGATTGTTAATTTTGTTCTTCCTAGGTGGTAAATAACATAGGCCCAGCATATAAAAGGGCAGCATTGTAACAAGAGTTCAACAGTTTTATCGACTCTAAGAAATGCAGAACATTATTAGGATCAGTGTGTCCCTTTAGTGCAAGAGACATCCCCCAAGGTAATGTTTGAATATACTTCGCTAGAGAGGGGAGAACAACACAAACCAAAGAATCAGCCCAAAAGAGAAAGAAAACATTGAGGCAATAAGTGTAAATGGAGCCATACAAGAAGTTGGAGATAAGGTTGTAAATTTGATTTGGAGACAGATCAAGAAAAGTCATTAAATAAAGAATCTGGACTCCTTAGGCAATGAAGAACAAGGAAAGGTTTTGCACAGAGGGATGGATGACAAGTACAACAACATTTAATAATACAACCTGTTTATATGTGTGTAAATTGAATGGAGTAGGAAAATAGTGACAGCAGAAAAACTAGCTAAATACCTACCACAATAGCAATGATAGTGACAGGTGAGCTGGAAAGAAGTTAAAAGGTCTGAGAGATGTTGTAGACTTGAAATCTATGGGATTTGACCATTGGTTGGAGGGATAAAAAAGAAAGAAGATCAAAAACAATACTAAGATTTTTAACCTAGAGATTAGGAAGATGACAGTGTTATATATAAAAAAAGAAATATAGTGAAAGGCAAGTTTAGGAGGAAAGATGTGAGTTCATTTAGATATACTAACTGTGAGGTGGCAGTGAGATATCCATTCGAAGGTGAGTAATGAGTAGCAAGAAGGAGAAAAGTTAAGAATATATACGCTGTGGAGAGGAGTTAAAGAGTAATACTTAACGTAAAAAGTATTAGTGAGATGTCCAAGGAAAAGAACATAGAAAAAAAGGCCAACAAATGAAACTTGTAAGATAACATTAAAGTGTAGGAAGAAGAGGATCCAGGGAATGAATTAGAGAAGTGGTTCAGAAATATGGGAGGGGGGGTACTAATATTTGTTGAGTACCTACTACTGTGCTAAGGATATTACATAGGTTCCTAATTTTAATTGTTGCATCAACTCTATCAGGTAGGTATTATCCTTCCTTCCTTTTAGAAGTGAGAAAACTGAGTCTCAGGAAAGTTAGATGCCGTATCCCACAATCACTGGCAGACTTGGGATTCCCATTCAAATCTTTAGAAGCAAAGATAGGTATGTATGTCACTAAAGACAACGGAATAGAATGTTTCTAGAATATTGTAGTATCGGTGGTACTATATACATGGAGAGATTGAAGAGAATAAACACTGGGGCAGGGGGACTAAATGGCTATTTCATTTGCCAACTAGGAAGTCATTGAGGATCTTTGGGAAAGTTCTTTATCACAGTGCTGGAACTAAAACTATACTGCAAGTGCTTAGAGAGTGCATGGTTGATAAGCAGTGAACAAAAACCTGTGTCATCAGGAGTATGGTGATGAAAGGAAGAGGAGTGTATGGGAACTCAAAAGGTTCTTGGATCAGGGAAAGATTTTCTTATTGTTTTTACTT